AAAAAAAAAAAAAAAAAAAAAAGAAGAGTAAAAAAAGCAATCTTCTAAGACAACCATGTAATAGTAATACTCTATAAAAGCTCAAATGGGGAAAGACCCCTCAAAATCAATATAAGATCCCAGGGAGGAAAAACTTCACCTGCATGGGACAGGATCGTTTTGCAGCCAGAAGAAAACATTTTACCAACGGTACCAAAAAAAAAAAGCAGACAACTCTACCTACAAGGTGCAGAGGGCAAGATTCTTGTCAACACCCTCTTGGAGAAAATCTAAAACTAAAAAAGGAACAAATGAGAAACATTATTCCTCTGTCTACACCAAGACGAGAAAACTTTCCAAACCTTGCTGTAAATTTTTCTTGTAACCTACTATCTACTGGACAGAAGAGTTTATCACCCCATGCAAACACCCTTTTTCCTCTAACAGTCTCTTCTCAAGAACCAGGCCATCAAGGAAAAGAAGCCTGGATTTAGATGCAACACCAGATCTTGAGAAAGAAGATTCCAAGGGGGGAGAACAGACTGGATCTGAAGCTCTGGAAACCAAGACCTGTTGGGTCACCATGGAGCAATCAGAATTAGCCTGCAACCTGAGTAACTTAGCTTTTGAAGGACTTGAGAAAGCTCAAAGAGTGGAAGAAAAGCATACCCGAGAGTGAAGTCCCATTCTTGAGCCAGCGCATCTATCCCCCTGGACCCTCTCTCCCCAAAGAGAGAAGGTGGCCTGCCCCTTCCTCTTTCCTCTCCTTGCAAATAAAATCTATCTGCGATCGAACCCATCTCTCAACAATGTGAGCAAAAACTTCTGCATGAAGCTCCCATTTGCTGTGGTGAATGGGCCTGTGACGAGAGAGAGCAAGAGGAAAAAAAAAAAAGGAAAATCTCTAGTGCTGCCTTCAACAGGCTTGGAGACCTGGTACTGCCCTGATGATTTCAATAAGCTACTGTGGCAGCATTATCTGAAAAGATCTGAACTTCCTGTCCCTTTGACTGAAAAGTCAATAATACTTCCCGAACTGATAATTCCCTCACATTGGAGGAAGCACTCACTAGTTCTTGAGACCAGGGACCCCGAGTTTGTAGAGCCTGAGTATGCGCTCACCAGCTCCAAGAGCTTGCATCTGTGGTTACAATGATTGGACATATCCGATAACACAACCTGCCCCCTGCTAGCCTCTCCGAATTCATCCACCAATTGAGAGATGGACGAATCTCTAATGGAAGATGAACCCTGAGATCCAAGGAATCGACTCTTGTCCCAGTGGGATAACAGGAACATCTGAAGAGGTCTTGCATGAAGCTGTGGACAATTCAGAGCCAGGATGGTCAAAACCCCTAAAAAATTGATGATCTCTCTCGAGGACAGGGGAGCTTCCGACATGGCCACCTTTTTCTGTTCTGTAAGAAACAGCTTTTAAACAACAGAGTCCATCCGACACCCCAGAAAGACTATGGATTGTGTTAGAAGCAAAGAAGACTTTTCCAGGTTCGGTTCAGAATCCAACCCAGGCTTTCCAGAACCTCCCTGACCCTCTGCAGACCCCAAAGGACTTCCACCTTTGATGAAGCATAAATCAGAATATCAGTATGGAATCAGAGACCCCTTCTGGAGACATATAAATGATATTGCTTCTGCCAATACCTTGGTGAAAATTCTCAGAGCTGCCAAAAGGCCAAAATGAAGGGCCTGAAACTGCCAAATAGAAGATTCCTCTGCTTGTTTGAACCACAGAAACAAATTGCAATGTATAAATACACCTCCTTGAGATCCTGGTTGACCATGAACTTCTTTCTGAAAAATCTTTGGACCAAATAAATACTTTCCATCTGGATTTTTTTTGGCAATCAAGAACCGATTCAATTTCTTTAGGTTCCAGATCATCCTGAATCTTCCCCCTGGTTTGGTAACTACAAAAACATTGGCATAAAAACCCTGAAACATCCGATTGCCTGGAACTGGAACAATTACATTTTGTGAGGCAAGAGACAGAATGCATTACTGTAGAGCTTTCGTTTGATGTTTTGGCAATCTTGTTAGGAAAAAAAGTCTGTGGGGGGACAATAAGAAATCCTAAGTGATAACCCTGTCTCAACAGGTCAAGATGAATTGACTCTCTGAAATCTCTTCACACAGACACAAAACAGGGAAAGCCTCACCCCCACCTTTTTTCTTGCGTCATTTTGATTCTTCATTGGTTAAGTCAGGATTAGTAAAGAGCAATCCTCCCTTGGATTTCTCTTTAATAAATGGCCAACTCTTCCTCTCGGGCTGGGACCTACCTCCCTGCTTCTTTTGTTCCTGTGGGACATAAAAAATGTTTTCCCCTTTTCAGAGGATTTGGCCAAAACAGTATCTAATCCTGACCCAAACATCAGACCTCCTTCAAATGGCAAACCACAACATCTAGATTTGGAAGTCAAATCACAGTCCAAGATTTCAACCAAATAACACGCCTAGCAGAATTAAGTAGGGCCCTAGACTTAGCACAGGCCCTAGACTTAGCACAGGCCCTAACGGATTCCGCAGAAGCATCAGCCAAATAGGCTACCACTTTACAGACTACCGATAAAGATTCCAAAACTTGCTCAGCTGAAGCCCTTGAGACAGATGCTGAGACACTCTCTCTAGCCATAGTTCCATATTCCTGGCCACACAAGTGGCAGCCACTGATGGAGCCATGGAAGCAGCATTTGCATCCCATGTTCTACGCAACAACTCTTTCACTTTTCAATCCATTTGATTCCCGATGTTGCCAGAATCTTCAAAAAGAACGATCAGCCTTTTTTTTTTTAAACCTATGCCAGAGCAGCATCCAGCTGAGGACATGTAAAATACCTCTATTCATCCTCCTTACTGAAAGGAAAAAAAATTTCCACGATCTGAAAGCTAGAAATTTTCTTTCAGGATCTTTCTACTCATCAGAAACTAATGAGATTGGTGAATAGGAAATACTCTACCCTGTGGCTCTAATAAGCCCTGACGCACTCTGTCCTGACCAAAAACTGTCTTTGGAGGATCAGGAACCTGCTCATTAGCATAAATAGCCTATAATAAATCGATATCCATCAGGGGAAAAAGATGACTAGCGCGGGGGGAGATTTGAACCACCTTCCCCAGCCTCATCCAGTTTCTCCTTATAGTGAGCTCTCAGAGGAAAATGGTTCTTCTATTACTTCTGGTAATAATGAAAAGAAACTTGTTCTGAGCCTCAAGAGGGTTTAGATCACAGTAGTTACAAATAAGGATTGGAGTAGCAAGAAGTACAAATGTGTTACACATGACTAAAACCATGTTGCACAACCACAAATCTATGCATTAGGGATGTCCCGATACCACTTTTTTAAGACCAAGTACAAGTACTGTCCCTCATGTACTTGCCGATACCAATTACCGATACTTTTTCTTAAAGGGACACATGACTTTTTTTCTAAAACAACACAGACTAATTATTTTAGGGCAGTTTCTCACCAGAACTGAATACATGTCCCCACAGCAGAACACATGTGCACAATGGAGGATACATGTCCCTAAGGCAGAATAGTATTCTGCTTTGGGGACATGTATTCAAAGAATACATGTCCCCAAAGCAGAATAGTATTCTGCTTTGGGAACATGTGTTCTGCAAATACATGTCCCCAAAGAAGAATTCCTCTCACCAGTCTGCGCATCGATCTCACCCGGGCAACGTGGACATCTGCAGTGGCTCTGCAGGCACTCCACCTCACCGGCGATGCTGGGACCCGGCCTCCTCCATGTCCAGTCCGGCCAACTATCTCCTGAGCTCGCCGACCTTCATCCATGTCCCGGCCCAGTCCTCCCCATCAAGTGTGAGGCAGGAACCCCCAGCTTCTAGCCCTGGGGTGGTAGTTCCACCCCCGGGGCTGTCCATGGCTGTGTCTGCGCCAGGAAGGAGATAGAGAACCGAACAGGCACTGCAGGTCATCAATAAAAATATAACACACACATACACACACACTCTTTAAAAGTCCCATAAAAAGTGTTTTGGAGTAGATAGAGCAGAGGGCAGAGTGGTATTTCCTCTCCATTCAACATGGGTGTCATCTGTGATGCAGAGAGAGGTTTGTATTGCCTGAAATACAGCGAGACTGAGAACAGAGATGGAGCAAAAGAACTGAGCGTGTAACTGTACATGAAGAGGATGGCTGTGGCTCTTAATGGTCTCTGCACCCACTTACGCATAGTAGCCAAGCACTTTTCGTTCTGATACTGAAGAAATTTTAGCCAAAATGGCTACAGATGACTTTTGACACTACACGGGCTCAGAACCTGAGAGTCTTGTGTCAGACACACAACTATATTTTTATCAATATTCTTTTGTACCTGGATACACCCAACTTTTACATTTCTGCTATTAGCATACTTATGCAGTGATAACTTTGCCATTACTTAAAGTATATCTAAAGGCAAACCCATTTTGTTTCCTATTTTGGATAAAGTAGAGGTGGGTTAAAACTGCTGTAGATTTTTTTTATACCACCTGCGTCCCAATAGTAGGATTTCCCTTCACTTCCTGTCCTGTAGACTCGATAGGAACTGAGAGGATATATTTTCAATATGAAGGAAATGCCCTCTTAGAAAGCTGTCACAGGAACATGTGTCCCTAATAGATGTCCACACTGTTCCTGTTCTAGTGGAAACACAAAACTTTGGATTTACCCTCTTTCAATTCCCGGTGACATCAGTGATCAGAACAATTTGAAAGAGTGAATCATTCTAATGGGGACTGATTGTACACTTCGAAAACTTCTAACCCCTTACTACTCTAAGGCAAACCATTTGTGTCAATTTGGATAGTTATATGTGCAGTTAACACATCCACATTTTTTTGGGAACAAGGATTTATTTACAAATGAAATTTAAAACAATTCCAGTCAATTTTACAAAAAAAGTTTAAATATAAATGTTAAATAAAAGCACATTGCTGAGGGGAGAAGGGTAGACAGAAGTAAATTTTGGCTGATTAGGGTTAGGAAATCATATGCAGACCAAAGGTCATGTTCTGCACGTGAATTAAACAGTAAATATTTTTACATCAACTTTCTCAATGAAAGGTCCAAACTGTTCAGAAGTCTCATGTTACACAGCAGCGTCTGAGTAAATGACAGCTTGGAATTGCTGGCAGTAGTGGCTGGTGGAACAATGACAGAGTGGAACAGGGTGTATAATCTAAGATTCTAGATTTTGGGAGCACACCCAAAAAAAATTATGTTTGGGCTTGGAGCATTAATGGCACCTAACGATACCAACTTTGAAGTGGCTTGCGCTGATTTAGCCCATCCAACCTTTCTCTTACTTGCCAAGCCTTTCGAGGCAGGATCACACCAGAGACTGTGCTGCAGCTTTGTACTTGGAAAGTGTTCTAACAGTACACTAGGGTTTGGAAACTGCCACAATGCAGAGGCCAGTGCCCGCAGGTCACATTTCCGGCTAGCCTTGAAAAACATCTAGAAGGTGTACTCAGAGTGAGACTTCAGAGAAAAGGTCACACCTGAGGCTGTGCCACAGGTCTGAACCAGGAAAGTGCTCCATGGCTAACTTAAGCAGCTCTGGAAAGCACTGCAATGCAGAGCCCGTTGCCGAAGGTCACATCCCAGGCTAGCCCTGCAATTTTCCAATACAGCAGGGTTAGGGTACGGCCTTTAAAGCGGATGTGGAGAATCCACCAATCTGAAAGTGTGAAAACTTTAAATGACGTTAACACTGCAATTTGGTTTTTTTTGGGGTATCAAAGATCTTGAAGTAGTTGAAAATAAAAAGCTATTAAAACTAATGTTGGATACTCTGGCCTCAACTCTGCCAAAAAAAGTCTAACCTCCAAGCACACTAGCAAAAAAAAACAACAACAACCTAGAGGCATGATGGGCTAGAGGTGGGGTTATACAGGGACTGGCCCTCAACTTTTTTTCTGCTGGTCAGTGTCACTCGTTTTAAAATCCCCATGTCCCTCAATGAATAAGGAAACAATTGTTTTCTATGTGTCCTGTCTGCATTATACTTGTGCGGTGGTGTGCATTGTGTAAAAATGTAGCATAAGAAAACCAGTAATCATACATTTATATATGAGCGAAGGTTGACATTTTTAATACATACACAAGGTGTGCGCTGTTATCTAATGTTTGAAGATGATTTTTATGCATCGGTTATGTGAAAGAGATATTCAATGTTTGGATCATGTTCCAACTACAGTCTTCACATGGTGTGTATTGGTAGCTCTAGAAGTACAGCCATTTAGAGCTCTAATGCTTTGGAGTGTGTTGACAATATAATAATAATTATGCTCACATAAGGGGAGAGCATAGGAATAACCTCAATTAGCTCTTCTCACAGTCCAAATCAACAGACCGGGGGAGAAAAGGTGACCAAGGACAAATTTCATTAGCCATTATTTTTCCCCACTAGTCACCCATTAGATGGATCATTACCATGATTTAGGAAAGAATGGGTTGTGCATAAAAGGTATACTTAATGAAAAATGATTTTAGGCGATTTCAAATACTGATTACATAACTTACAACAGATGCTGCTTTTAAATGTCCAAAGGAATTTAGCTTCCTGCAATATCACCTTGAGCCCTGATATCCTGTTCTAGGGTGGATCTTTTCACTTACAGGGACCTATGGAGCCACCCTTGTGTGTGCTAGTAAGCTGTGTCTCCACAAACACACAGGAGCAGCAAGATAATTCACACCCCTGCTGCTCCTTCCTCCCTTCTCCAAGTTAGTACACAGACATCTGCTGGAGACGGCCCGGCGATCTTGTATTCAACAGGAAGTTCAGAGATGCTGAGTTTGGAGAATTGAAGCCAGCTGTTCTGAGTGTTTGGGAAAAAATTGTTGCTAGGCAATGTATATTTGTTTGATCTGGATCATTGAACAAAAGCTTGAGAGTTTAATACTACTTTAATTGCAATCGTGTGTATAATACACACACAAATTATATCTATATGACACACGCGTGCACGCGGTTAAAGGTTTTAGAACACCCCCATTTTTCCAGTTTTTACTGAAATTAAAATTTTACTATCTCAATGTACTCCTAAAATAAAGAATAGAACAAATAATTGGACATCCAAAGGAAATCATGGAATCTTTTTTTTTTTTACAAAATGTAATCTAAATTTTGGACTCAAAGTTGCCACCTTTTGCAGATATAACAGCCAAACCAAACTCGAGGCATTCTTTCTACAATGGAAATCAAATATTGTTTCTTAAAGTTCTTCCCAAAACAGAATTTCCCACGTGTTGCACTTGTAGGTTGGTTTGCTTTCACCCTTCTATCCAGTTCATCCCAAACCAGCTGAATGGGATTAAGGTCTGGAGACTGTGCTGGCCATTCCATGATTTGAAGTCTGCCGTTCTGTTCTTTTCCTCTATGGCAGTGGCTCTCAACCTGTAGGTCACCACGTGCTTTGTGCTGCGCTAGGTGAGAGTCTCCTCAGCCTCCTTCTACGGCAGAAGTTTCATGTCTCCGGCCGCGCTGCTAAATGGAGTTGCAGCAGCGGCGGATGAGAAGGATCAGAGAGAGGGGAGCAGGCGGAAGTGAAACACCTGTGTGTTAGGATGACAGGAGTTAAGTGCCAGCTCTCAAAGGTCTCTTCAGTAATAAATATAAGATTTGCACTGCGCTTAATAAAACTAGTAAACTGTGAATGATGTGTAGCCAACAAATGACCCTTCTAAATAATAAAACTAAAGTAATACCAAACTTAAAAAAATCATACAATAATATACTGTGCTCATAGTTGTGTTAAAAACACAAATCAGTGCTGTGTCTATGAATATGGTGATGAATCCACAATCATTAGTTGTTAAAACAGTGAAGAGTTTGTGAAATAGTTCAATATAGTCTTTATCTTGTACACAAAATAACATAGAAATCCATATGCAATCCAATCCACCTCCATGCAAATCCACAACGGTTTTAATCCCTGTGCTGCTTCCAGCTTCACCAACAAATATGCACGGTCACAAGATATATTACAGATAAGCCTCATGTGCCCCGGTATCAACTGGGATTAGATGCCTCCAATTCTTACAGATCCTCCGGGCACCCTTGGAGGCATCCAGTCCCAGTTAATACTGGGGAGCATGTGGGTTATCTGTAAAATATCTGGTGAGCGCGGATATTTGTTGAACACTGTGAAGCTGGAGGCAGCACGAGGGTTAAAATCATTGTGGATTTGCACAGAGGTGGAT